TAACCTAGTGGGCCATCAGTTTATCTGTTTTTAAAGGAAACCACACCCAATTCTTTAGAGGGGGCGGGGGCTGAGAGTGTTCTTTTCGCCTTTCACCACTTAATAACTTTCATCGAAAATCCGAGGCAAAGATGAAAAACAACCTAATTAAGGAACGCAATTTTCGTTTGGAAAACTACTAGATCTTCCGATTAAATACGTAAGAAATGTTTAATGACCTCATACACAAAAAAATCACTGCTCTTCCATATCCGACTGAGGGTGCTGGTTGAAATCTTTTGAAAAGGCAAAACCCTGAACAAAATCTACACAGTATGTAATACGATGATAAAGGGCAACAAAAAATGGAGGGGTTGGGATGAGGAAAGAACAGAAAACCTACGCAGAAACGTCTAGCTGGCAACCCCGGCTCACTGTCCATTCCTCTGGGCCAACTTTCGAGGTGCTCTCACGCCTTTTGCCAATTTTGCACGCTAGCGCAATCTTCAGGTTTTGGAGTGCACAAGTCCACCACTAGTGGCGAGGGGTGACGGACAGGCACAACTGGCGTCCCCTCTTCCCGTGAAAAAGCAGACTGCCGAACATGTACGAGCCGAGTCCCGGATGCACTTCCCACAGCTCAGGGAAGCGCAGCGCGCGGGACCCGCTCCGTTCCTCTCCCTGCGGCCAGATGGCCTGGGCCTCGCCCTTGGCCCCCGAGGGACCCGCGGCTGACAGAGCCCAACTCTTCACGGCGGCAGTGGGTGCCTCCGGAGAAGCCCCGGGCCGACCGCGGCCACCAGGCGGGGTGCGGGGGCTGGGCGGGCGAGCCAGCGCAGGTCCCCGAGAGGGGCGAACGGGCCAGCGGCTGACATTTTTTGTTTGCTCCAGACTGGATGGTGGACGGCGGTAGGCCGAGGCTTTTCCGCCCGCTGAAAGTCAGCGAGAAAAACAGCGTGCGGGGAGCAAAAGCACGGCACCTACGCCCTTCTCAGTTAGGGTTAGACAAAAAATGACCTCCACCCCTCCCGGGCCCACCCGCCGCAACCCATCACGCGATTCTCGGAGTCTCCTTATAAAGGAGCGGCCGCCGCCCGCGCGGATTGGCCGAGGCCCGCCCGCCACGGCTCTCGCGAGAGTCGGTCAGGTAAATTTTTTTTTTTTTTTTAAGTTCCATTTCCGGCCATGAGGCCGATGGCCGCCCCGCCCCCACACACTTTAGGTCTTTTCTTCGGACGTACTTTGAGGGTGAAGCTGATTTGAGGTGCTTCAGTCTGGGCCTTTTTCAATCTCCTACAGACTAGATGCGGTGCACCTCGACCATCTTAAAAGATGGGGAGTTCACAGAAAAATGTTAGGCCCGAGGACACAGAACAGTGCTTCCCAATTCTGATCATCACATTTGTTGGAGAACTTTGCGAAAACAGATTACCTTGCGGCACTGACTAAACCAAAATCTTGTCTCGGCTCAGTAGGCTGCGTCCGAGTTCCCGCCCTGCCCCTCGTCTTTAGAATGCCTTCTCTTCTTCAGCCTCTCCTTGAGTAGGAGATGGGTTTTATTAAGTATAATTATTCATTCCTAATCTTAACATTAAGGACTGAATCTCCCTTTTCTTAGGAAAGAAAGGCTTTTCAATCATTGGCTTTGTTTTCGATAATGCTGTGTCGTGATTAGGTAAAAAGAGGAACGATCCACTATAAATTGTAGCGGTTTTTTATAATGGTCAATATGATGTGGTTTTAGATATAACTGGAAAGCTGATCTTAAAAGTTTTACTCGTGTTTAATTGGGTAAACTCCGTGGAGTTTCTCGATCTGAAAGAAGAAAAGTAAAATGTTAAAGGGCTGGGAAAATAGAGCGGAATTTTCACAACATTTTTCTTTCTTAGGTTATCTGAAAGGATCATCTATAACCCGGTGGAAGAGGGTAGCATCTCTGCAGAATATTCTAAACTGGTTGCTAGGTTCTGCCTTAGAAACCACTGTTAAGGATTGTGTGCCTGACTAACCGAATAAGCTACTTCAGGATCACTTTAATCTCTTGACCTCTTTAAATCTCTATTTCTTAATTTGTAAATGGGAGTAATACCTGCCTTGCCTACCTCTCTGGGATGTTGAAGTTTCAATTAGATAATGTATGGTTAGCCCTATTTATTTAAAAAAAAGTGCTTTAAGAATTCTAAAGTGAGGGACTGGGATCATCCTCTTACAATGGTTGTGAATCTAGTGAATGCAAGCATCAACTGTCCAAGCTGCCCTCAGATAATCATTTTCTATACCTTACCCAACCTAATCTTGTTTACCATCACTAAAATTGGAGAGAAGATTCCGGGAATGAATTGCACCTCTTCACAAATGCTTGACTAAAGCCACACGGAGTTACTTCCTGCTCCTTGTACATGCCCGTCATTTTTACCCCCTGGAGCCTTTGCCCTATGGTTCCCTCTGCCAGGAATGTGCTTCTGGTCAGTTTTACATATCTACTTACCTACTGGGAGTGCATCATAGAAGGCATCAGGGAAGCAGGCAGACAGGAAAAGTCCACCATCCCTGTCTTCTAAGAACATATCTAGCAAGGGAGAAAGACAAGCAAACCAAAAGATAAGGCTGCATAAATTAAGTGATCAGTAGAAGTACAAGTACTAGAATGTGCTGGAGGACACAAAGCAATGACAGTTTTGCTGTCATGGAGGAATTCTATAAGCAAAAAATAACTTCTATTTTATTGTATTTTGAAAGTGCCTTTAAGTACATTATTTCATTGCATTTCACAATGACACTGTGAGACAAATAGGGATCAGCAACCTCATTTTCTAGATGAGAACACTTATCTTCAAAATGTTTAAACAACTTGCTTAAGTCATGCAGCTGTATGTGGCAGAATCTGGACCTAACCCCACATATGTTACCCTCAAATTTTAGAGGGCAAGGCACTTCATTAGGTTTAAATTCTAGCTGTCCTTCATGCCCAGCTCCAAAGCCAAATCGACCAGAAATTCTTCCTTGAACCCTCAACTGGTGTGGTACCCTTTTTGGACTCCCAGAACATTTTATACTTCTCATAGGACACTAAATCACTTTTTACCTTGTATTATTGAAATTTAGGTATGAATTCCACCTATTCTACTGAACTGCCAGCTTCTTAAGGATAGGCTCTGACTCTTGATGTAGCACTCATTGCACTTAGCACAGTGTCTTCCATAAGAGCAAATGCTAAATACTTTGAACTATATGTCAATACCACCACCATTTTCTCAGCTACCCAGATCATCTCAGACCCTACTTTACCCTTCATATCTATCTAAATAGGCACCAAGTCTTGTGAGCTTTTTGTAATTTCTTCTTTTTATTTTCTGTTGCTTATAATCTTGAGTACAAGACTTGGCTACTTTATATCTGGAGTAATAACATTTTAACTATCACTGAATCTCCAGGGCCATCCCAGTACAATTTATTCTCCAACCTACCACCATATTCATCTTAATATAATTTCCTTATGTCTCCTGATTTTAAATCTTTAATTTTTCCCCTTTGCCTATAGAACATTTAACACTTAAAGTCTTTCAGTCCCTCCTATGATCTAAATATTTGTTGCCTCCAAAGATCACGAGGAAGCTTGATCCTCAATGTGGCAGCGTTGAGAGGTGGGGCCTTTGAGAGGTGATTGTATCATAAAGGCTATGCCCTCATGAATGAACTAATCCTTTCATGGATGCGTGGATTAATGGGTTAATGGGTGAGTGGGTTATAATGGAAGTGGCATTGGTGTCTTTATAAGGAGAGCAAGTGAGCACTTTAACACATGGGATCTCCCGCATCACCGTATGATACGCTGCATCATCTCAGGACTCTTCCTCAAGTCCCCACCAAAAAGAAGGCCCTCACCACATGGACCTCCTGGACCTTAGTTCCCCAGCCTCCAAAACTGTAAGAAATTTTGTTTCTTCATAAATTACCCAGTTTCAGGCAGGTATCTGTTATATGTAACAGCAAATGGACTAATGCAGTCCCTGGTCTTAATTTACCTTCCTAGCCATAATTCTTCCTTTGCTCCATATAAAATCACTTTAACACAATCAGTCTATCAAACATGCCATGAATGTGCTTTGTGCATTCTCATCTTTAGCCCCTTGCTCATCCTGTTATGCTTGCCTGGGTATTTGCCCTCTACTCCCCCCAGTATGGATTGAATTGTGTCCCCCAAGTTTTATGTATTAGAAGCTTGATCCCCACTGTGACTTCTAAGAGGGTGGGAAATCCTATTATGGTAATTGAAAGGTGGGGCCTTGAAGAGGTGATTAGATTCTGAGGACCATGGCCTAATGAATGAACTAATAATGGTGGTCATAGGTCTGGTTCTGAGAGCTTTAAAAGGAGAGCACATGGGCCAGCCCAGTGGCGCACTGCTACAGTGCGCTGCTTGGGAGCGTGGCGGCCCTCCCGCCAAGGGTTCAGATCCCACATACAGACCGGTTCCCGCTCACTGGCTGAGTGAGGTGCGGGCGCAACACCAAGGGTTGCGATCCCGTTGCCGGTCCGGTCCAGTCCGGGCGCGACACTGAGGGTTGTGATCCGTTGCCAGACACGAAAAAAAAAAAAAAAAAAAAAAAAAAAAAAGGAGAGCACATGAGAGTCTCTCTCTCTCAGCTCTGCCATTTTCTACTATGCGAGATCCCTGGGTCTCTGTTGCCACCACCAAGACCTTCACTGGATGTGTTCCCTGGACTTTAGACGTCCCAGCCTCTGAAACTATAAGCAATAAATTTTGTGTTCTTTATAACTCACCCAGTTTCAGGTATTTATGTTATAAACAACAGGATCAGCTAATCCACCCCCTATCCTAATGCCACCCCATACCTCTGTTATGAAGTGTTTCCTCACCACAGAAACCCTCTTTCCCCAAACTTCAACAAGCTTAAATCTTATCACGCATTTGGCACATAACATATTGTACTACAAACTGTTCTCTCTCCAAGAGAAATGTAAGCTTTTCAAGGTCAAGAATAGTGTTTCCTATAGCATTTAACTTGGTTCCACTCAATAAACATCTGTTGTTTGACTAATTCACTATTATTATTTTCCACCATTAGAAATACAACAGAAACATGGACATCCCAATAATTGGAATATGTTCTGTTCTCCCAAGAACATATAATACCCAAAGTTTTCTGTCACATATACTCAAAACATTTTCTTCTAACCATTTTGCTTCTGTTTCAGAAGCATCTTTGGTGTACTATGTTGGGTCCAACTTCTTTAAATTCTGCAGCAGTGATCCACATGTCCTGAAAGGCAGAGAGGGATGCAAGAATAGAACCTCCCATCCATGCAGACATTTTCCGTTCTGGGGGAGCTGTAACCTGCACAGGAGTGTTGGCAGGAGCCACCTTTGCTATATCCTTAACTAGCCGTTTGTCTAAACCAGGGAAAGAGGTTGATCCCCCAGCAAGGGTAATATTGGAGAAGAAGGAATTCCTCAGATCTGTATCACATTTCATTATGCTGCTGAAGCACAGCTTATCAATGCCAGGGTCTTCAAGGTTCATGAGACATGGAGAGAAGAGGGCCTCTGGACAACGAAAGAGCTCCTCATGGAGCTTGATGATCTTCCCATCAGGTAGTTTGTAAACTTTCTCTAGACACTCAGGATTCTTGGCCATTTCCTCTTCGTAGTTCATTGCCACATAACAAGAGGTCTCCTTAATGTCTGCAACAGTCTTTCTGTCTGCAGCACTAAGCAGCACCACACCACGGTCCTTCAACAGCATCATGAGGTAGTTGGTGAGGTCAAGGCCTGCCAGATTCAGTTGCTGGACACCATGAGGCAGACAGTAACCTTCAAAGATGGGCACACACTGGGTGATCCCAGCACCTGAATTCAGTACAAGGCCAGTAGTGAAGCCAGCAGCAAAGAGAGCCAGCACAGCCTGGATGGACATATAGAAGGCAGGAACACCCAGATGCTCAAAAAACACTTCAGTGATCTGTTGCCTGTTGGCCAGTGGGCTCAGCGCTGGCTCAGTAATCAAGATTGGGCCATCACAGGGCTTTAGCTTCAGGTTGTGTTCGTAGATATGCTTCCACATGATCTCCATGTCTCCCCAGGAAGTAACGAGACCACGCTCCACTGGGTAGCTGTAGGGAGAGCAATATGATAAATGGTAGCTTTTTATTTTCCAGGTTTCTACTCTCTTCAAGCCTCTGTTAATCCCTGTATTTATTACCAATATCCTTTTAGGGGCAGTAACTGCCACAGCCTCTCAGAGGAGATAACTGTCAACAAAAATTAGCACAACTACCTTCCTCTGCCATTTTTGTTTTTTATTTCTCTCCCCCTTGGAAGACTGTGACTTAAAAGAAAATTGGAAAATCCCCACATTATAGTGTAGTTTTAATATCAATTAATTGAAGAGACTAACCCACATGACAAAAAGTACCATGAATTAAGTAGCATTCTTAAATGAACTTGTATATTATGAACAATAACTTTCTATGTTTGAATACATTTGTGTAGATACAGAGAGCAAGTAATGTCCAGTCTTCGAGTACTCGGTACCCTCGGAGATTTGTGGCCTGCACGTTCGCCATAAGGCCTGCAGGCTGAGCCTTTCCTGTACCTCGCTCCCTTAACCTTTCTGTCACCGTCGCGCCCTACACCAAGGCTCTCCCTTCGTCCCCGCCCACGCCGGCCCTACCTGCGAGGAGGAGGTACCTGATGGACAGCGAGCTCCTCCTGTCCTGAGCTTGGTCGCCCACGCACACTTCCATCTCTCTCTCGGATGCCCAGCTACGGCCCTTGGCGCGGCCCATGATGTTCGGGTAGACAAACTGGGGCTCCCGGCTCCCAGCCAGGCCCGCCTTGATCACTCCCGAGCCGTTGTCGATCACCACCGGTAGCTGGTAGTAGTTCATGCCGCCGCCGCCGCCTCCGGTCGCCGCGCCCCTCCGGCTGCCGGCTCTACCCGGGCCGACGGCCTGGAACGCCGCGTCACAGAGGCCGGAGCACGGCCGGGGGAGCCTGAGCCCGGCTGGCGTGGGCCGGGGCCGGGAGAGCCCCGGGCCGATGGACTCCCTGGACACCCGGTGCTCCAAAGTACCGCCCGCGATTGCTTGTCGCAGGGCTGGGCCACCCCCTCGCCCCCGCTGAAACCCGGGAATTCCAATATCAGGAAAACCCGACTTCTCTCCCGAAGACACACATCTAACCCTTCGCAAGTGCACTTCTCCGACACCCCGAAGAGCCATAAAAACAGTTTCACTTCCCAAAGCCATTGAATTCTGGCTCACAGTTGTCCATTCGGGGAGCTCTGGAATGCGCCCTTGAGACTATGAAAGGATGAGATTTGACAGGGGACAGTTGTCGCCGGAGGGCAGTCACTGTCCTTGAAACTCTCGTCAACTTCTAAAGAGAAAGGAAAAGAATGCTAGGTCTAAACAAGAGTTTTAAACACTTTTATTATTGTTTCTGTATACTGGGCAGTGCTGTGTTGTTCTTCTTTCCGGCGGTTTCTACACACGTACGCCATAAAAACAAAATGGCAGAACCTCACTTTTTTCGTTCTCTTTTTCTTTTCTGACAATCTCGTCGGATTATATCTATCCCTCGGTGTAATCTGGAAGCTCATTCTCATTCTATGGTCTTGATTTTTAGGTATATGGACGTGTCTGCCTAAGTGAGGTTCCTTAGGTCATATTAAGTTCAGGTTCAGAAAAATGTAACTAATTTGCGTGTCAAAAAACGCACTTTGGAGGGGCCGGCCCGTGGCTCACTCGGGAGAGTGCGGTGCGGATAACACCAAGACCACGGGTTCGGATCCTATATAGGGATGGCCGGTTGGCTCACTGGCTGAGCGTGACAACACCAAGTTAAGGGTTAAGATCCCCTTACCGGTCATCTTTAAAAACAAAAACAAAAAAAAAACCGCACTTTGGTGTCTGATGTTTGCACACGCTGTAAAGGATTTTAAAACAAGTACGCAAATTAGAGCCTCCGTTTGGTATTCAGAAGCACCGGGAAGAGATTCACAGGTAATTTACGTCTTTCTACCACAGGCTGAAAGGATCGCTTTTCGCCGGCACAGTAAGCGCGTCGGGGCTCGGTGCTGCGCGCCGCCGCCTTCCCGCCGACCGAAGCCCCACAGCTTGCCCCGGACTCTGAGCAGCGCGACGCGGGGAACGGGTGTGAGATAAAACGCTCTTTTCCCGGAGAACAGAGTGTACCAAAGGAAGAGCAACTAGCGGGTGGCTGGTGTCTACAGCAGTGTCCAGGGGCTTTGAAAGTACGCACAATTCAAACTTTCGAAATAGTTTCAGTACTGGTCAGTTGCGCATATGGTTATTTTTGCTTTCCTGTTTTATGGTTTTGTTTTGTTTTCCCCGTTAAAAGCTATATTAGTTCTGTTTAACCGGATGTTAAGTAGGGTTTGCAAATCGCATGGTTTCAAATACATATCAAGGTCTTTCTGAAGCACCACTTCCAGCAGAGTTTCCGTAGTGTAGTGGTTATCACGTTCGCCTAACACGCGAAAGGTCCCCGGTTCGAAACCGGGCGGAAACAGCTTTTTTTTTTTTTTTCCTGCGGTCGATCTTGTAATTGTTACTCAGGTCTTTCCACTACGAGAATTTGAATTTTCAGTTTTAATGTTACTTTATGCGTTTACCAAATGTTTTACTTAAAAGGCTTGCCACGTGGAGGAGTGCCCCAGATTAAAAACATTCGATTCACAACCTAATACTGAAAAAATAATGTACAGCTTAAAAGGGGAGAGGAAACTGTAAAAAAGATTAGCCCCGTCGCTTCCAGAGCATTCTTCGTGTTGTCACTTGGTTTTCCGTCGTTTTCTCTTCAAGATTGCATTTTTCCCTAAACTCCAGACCATGTTTTATTATTATTCTATATACTTAGTGCCATGCTTGATACCTAGGTTCAGAAATATTTCTGAACTAACTACAGAAAAGGGTTCCGAAAAAAACAAAAACTGGAATCAGAAGGAAAATTATACTCAGAAAGATGAAATCAAGAACCAGCCTCAAAATTTTACTTGTAAACATAACGACTGTGGTTTTATTTACGCGTAAGATTCTTACGGAGAGAGAGGAATTTATAAAAAGAGCAAGAAGACTCTGGTAGGAAAAATAGTCTCAAAAGTGAAGAGACGAATAAATACAAGCAGAGTCTGTTCTTTAAAGTCGCGGGTAGACTGCTTACGGCCCTCACACATAACTTTTAACAAGAAAAAAATGCTGAAGTTTTGGTTTTTTGAGATTTATGATGATTACGGATACTAGGGAAAAATCTACCCTATCAACAAGACTTATTCTTTCTGGTACTTTTGCATATTACAGCGATCTTTTTCTTTTACTGTACAAAACTGAATTCGATGTAAAAGTATTAGAATTTTTCTAATTCAGACGCAGGAAAACCTTTTCCGGTGTAAAGCCCACCTTCCTGTAATATTGCGCATGCCCAGTGTACCCAACTGCTTTGCTTCGTGTTCGTGCGCCTCAGACTTCTATTATCTCCGGGTTAGGGTATCCTGGAACCTGAGCTACAGTCGGCTGGTGCAAACAGAACCCAGAGTGTCCCCAGAGCTTTCGGGTACGTAAACGGGAAAAGGGTGATCAGTCTCAACTCAAAAATCCCCCACGGCCGAGAGCCCGAGCCCACAAAGCAGCAGTTTCTACCGGAGGGACCCCAAGGAGAGGGTGATGGGAGAAGACGCGAACTACAAGCCCCAGCGTTCAGCGCGCAAGCCGGCTCCAGGAAGGAGGCCCGCCGCGCACCGCCACCCGGCCTCGGCCCAGAACCCGGGCCTGGCGCCAATGCTGTCGGCCTTCCAGAACGCTCAGAATGAAGAAGACAGGCGTAGCGCTGTGAGTCAGCCCCCAGGTCTCGTATCCATGGCGCCTGCAATTGCGGGGACCGTGGCGTGCTGAGGAGTGGGCTCTCTGCGGGCCAGCCCCTCGGGCCCTGGCCGATGTCAGACCTCCAAGGTCCGGGAGTCTCCTGTGTTGCCAAGGCCGGCGGAGCCGGACGTGACGCCGCTGTGGAGGGAGAAGGGAGAGGCGGGGCGGGGCGCGGTGACGTCCTTCCAAGATGGCGGAGAGAGAGTGAAGAAACTGTGTTCCCCCCTTGGGTTGCTATCGGTGAGTTCCGATTTCGCCCCCAGCCCTCCATTCCCGCTCTCTCCAGATCCACGGTCATCGGAAGGCAGGCTTCTTGGAGTTCGAGTGCGGGGCGAGCGAAGGCGGAAAGCTTGGACGAGGCAGCCCCGGTGGTGGCCTTGACCACAACCGCTACTGTGGGAATTCGCGGGAGTGGGAACTAGGCGGAGGGCAGGGCGGCAGAAGCCGAGGAGGGACCGGCTCTGGTTGTCACTGTCCAGTGCCGTGCTGCGTGAAGAAAGGGAGGGAGGAAAGGGGGTGTGGCCTCCTCGGGGCGAGTGACCGAACCCTTGACAACCCTTGGCCTGCCACATTCTCCGCCCCCTGGGAACCCGCCTCGAGTTTTTGGAGAAACTGCACAGCTGAAGCTAACAGGTTTCAGTGATTCGAGAGCAACTTTTAAAAACTCATACCCTGGTCTTCCCCCAACTGACTCAAAGGATCATTTCTTAGTAGTTTGTTAAGTTTTTGCTTAACATACGTATGCCTACTGAATTTGCACCCCTGAGTGTTCAACTGATTTAAAAGGATGACATTTTGTGGCGCTTTTTTCAACTGATGGAAGTGTTTTTGTTCACCGTCATTTACTGGTGTGTTTGTCGGCCGAGATCAAACAAAGATAGAAAGGCACTTTCTCTTCAGCGTTATTTATTTATTTATTTACTTATTTACTTATTTTTATTTTAACTTCTCAATATACATTGTAGTCCATTTTCATGACCCTTTACCCGTTCCTTTTCCCCCCTCCCTCTCTCCCCTCCCCTCTTCAGCGTTTTTAATCATATATGTTTGATAAGGATTTTCAGGGGAGATGAAATGAAAGCTAACTTTATTCTTGTTCATGTTATGTCCTCTGTCCCTACTCCCCTCCACCAATTGCTTGGGTGAACGTTTGAAGAAAGCTTGTGGTCAGTGATATACTATTTCTTTTTGTCTTTTAGATCAAGGGTAAAATTCCATTCTGAAATCAAAATGCAGTATTCGCACCACTGTGAGCACCTTTTAGAGAGACTGAACAAACAACGAGAAGCAGGTTTTCTTTGTGACTGCACCATAGTGATTGGGGAATTCCAGTTTAAAGCTCACAGGAACGTGCTCGCCTCCTTTAGTGAGTATTTTGGTGCGATCTACAGAAGCACTTCTGAGAACAATGTCTTTCTTGATCAGAGTCAGGTGAAGGCTGATGGATTTCAGAAACTGTTGGAGTTTATATACACAGGAACTTTAAATCTCGACAGGTAAAGTACACATTTTCTTTTCAGTTATAAAAGCTAGTCAATAGTCTTTTGAGTTAAAGTAGATTTGTATTTTGTCTGTTCAGTATCTGAACTCAGAGTCTTCAAATACTTATGCACACAGTGTATTAATAAAAAAGTCGGTATTACCTATTTGGGATGAACAGATAACACTTCATAAGCACAAAAAGGATAGATGTTAAACAGTAAGATTTATGACTCATTTATCTACTGAAACAAAGCCTGTGATTCCAGTTATGTAAACTTGAAATTTATTCTATTTATTTCTATTCTTTATATTCCTCTGATCTTCTCTCTCTCATTCTCTATAACCCTACTATTTACGGTGTTTGGAGTAGAATGTAAATGGGGAAAGAAGGAAGGACGTCTGTATGTAAAAGTGCTCCTATTGCCAACCATAAATAGCAGTGTGCAGGATCTCTTCCTGATTTTGATTTTGGGGAGAAAAACTTTGTTGCAGCATAAATGGCAATGACTCCTTCTGTTCTCTCTCTTGACCTGCCATTACTAATGCTTAAGCAGGTCAGAGGTGCTAGAATACTTCTCTAAGATGCTTACTACTGTCACTGCATCAACAAGAAGTAGGTTCTGAGGAATCTGATAATGCAGGTACTGTGTTTCTCCCCTACATAGTTAAATATATAATTAGATTAATAGCAATACATTTAGTAGTTGTGGGGGAGAAGGCAGAGGGGATAAAAGCAAAGAGAAACCAATCAAATTACCGCTGTCTTTCTTCCATTTCTTATGAAAGTGTGAACATGAGTTGACTGTTCATAATCTTCTAATAAGAGATTATGGGCTTTTGAATTAGATCTTGTCTGTCAGTCACTATGTCTCCTTGAGCAAGATGCAACCTTTCTGGGCCTCAGTTTCCTCATCTGTAAAAATGAGATGGTAATAACTACCTTGGTCTTACCATGAAAATTAAATAAGGATTTATTTGAAGGCTCAATGAACATTAGTTTCATTTCTTTATTTTCTCTACCCTTCCTTCCCCCCTTTAATTCCTCATTTCTTGGAGAAAAACTAGAAAAAAACAAAGAAAAGGAAACACCTGAAATTCTGCCACCTATTGATAACCCCTATGAACGTCTTGATATATATTCATTCATTCTTTTCCAGGTGATCTCTATAGATAGATGCATGTACACATTAAGCAAAATCCTTCTTTCTCTTTTATATTGAAGCTTATCATGGAAATATACTTATTTAAAAAGCTAGAATCAGGATGCTCCTTAATTCTTTTGAAAAGGAAACATTCATGCTGTTTTGGAATTATTTTTAAATATTGTTATGATGAAATCTTTAAATGAGTCAGTTCTGTGTACGTTGATTAATGGAACAGCAGTGTCAGATTAATCTCATGTGATAAGTTATTTAAATTTACTAAGTAGTTAATTATGCTGGTGCCTCTGATCTAAGAAATAGAAAATAACCACAAAAACCAATGAATTTTAGTTGACATTCAATTTAATGATTTCCCTTTCTCAGTTTACTATGCCAGAAAAAAGTTGATTTGAACACCTGACAGAACACCTTTTTTTGAGCCTTCATGCAAAGAAACAGTGTTAAGAAGAACCAGTTGTTTTGTTCAGTCTTTTTTGGTGCATATCTTTCCTGGGGAGCTAATTGTTTGAACCCAGCCAGAAATGTAAGAGAAGACTTATACCAAAACAGAAAGTCTGTACAATGTAGTGATTAAGAAAACAGGCAGAATAATAGAGAATTAAGTGGACTCGGAGGCCAGATCACCTTGGTCAAATCTTGGTGCTAACACTCTGTAATTTTGGACAAGTTACTTAATTTTTTTGGATCTCTGATTTTTCATTTTATGTAAGATGAGGATTATAGTGAATTTCATAGGCATGTCATGAGGATTAAATGAACTAATCCTGTAAAGCATTTAGCCATGTACCTGGCATTATGTAATTAAATGACCTTCAATGACTGTTGAAAAGGTGAAAGCAAGTTTGGAAGCACTATAACGTACTACTTAAACAAAAGCAGAAAATTAATTATTGAAGTAAACAAATGCTGATTAGTTCTCTTAACTGTCTGCGAAATAGTTTGTATGAATTACTCGTTCAGTATTGAACAACTGGTGTGTGATTTAATGCTAGCTTGTGTTGGTCTTAAAGGCTACTTAACCTTGTTACCTGTTTTGGTGGTTCATTTTGTGGAACACTGAGCACAATTATAATTTGAGACCAAAAGATCTGTTTTAGTTAATTATAATAAACAGTAGAGTACATTTGATTTTCATTCTAGTAATGTCTCATTTATTGTATTTTTTAATAATAGATTATGTAACAAAATCAATAAAAATGCTTAAGAAGAAATGTAATGTCTTTGGAGAGTGATGATGCTGTATACACATAAAAAACATTTTGTATAAAAGGTGAATAAGATTGTTTTTATGTTTGGAACATTTATGCTATTTCTTTGCAAATAGAGAAATAACTTGATTACAAAGGTCATTCATTATATATTTTAAAAATTATAGCCACGGGCCATAAGGAAATATCTTAACATTTTCTTCTCTAGGGGAAAGACTTAAATGGACTATATACCAAAAGGTTAATTGTAATATGTTTAGGAACTTGCGATGGATTTTCCAAGAGAATAAAATATTCTGTAAGCTGGTGGTTAGGTTTCTGAATTAGCCTATAACTCTACTTAATCTATAATAGCTGAAAAATTATTATAAGAAAAGTCAATTTTTAAAAAGCCATTATAATGCTAAATTAAATAAGAGGGAACTTACAGGGGCACTTGAGGCAAAGTATGTTTAGATGATGAGAACATGGGTAGAGATTTGTAGATATTGTAGGATACTTTTAGGGATCTTAGAGATTCATGACAATAGTTATTTTTAATTTCATTTCAAATTTTAGTCCTTTTTTAAAAAAATACTGGCACTATATTTACATTATCAGCTATGAATAAAACCCTTTTCTGGCTTATACTTATAATGAAAAAGAAAAGGGAAAAGAGATCATTCGGAACTAAACAATATGTGGGGAAAATGGCAGGTAGAAAGGTTACTTGAGGGTATGTATGTATGTGTATATCCATTCTCAAATAATTAAAAGGATCATATTTTTAGTGTTAATACCAACTCAACTCTAATTTTGCAGCTAAGAATTGAAGCCCCCCCCCCAAATAATCAGTCAATCAGTCAATGAAACTGAAGCCCCCAAGGATGCTGACTTACCCTAATTTATTCAGCTAGTAATCCCAGAGCCAGTGCTAGAGTAATCAAACAACCTTTCACTACACTGTAAACTTCTGAAGGGCAGGGAAGTTTTATTTCTTATTATCCCTTAGAACCACACTTTGTAGATGCTCAGTAAATATTGACTGGAATGTTGAATAAGGTGGCTTAAGTCTTTCCATATAACTCTGATATGACAAACTCTCCAGCTAACTCTCGGGTTGACTGTCACCAAAAAAAAAAAAAAAAAAAAAAAACAAGAAGGTTACTAGAGAGAGCTTAACACATTTTAAAACCTTGTTCCTTCAAGTTTGATCCATGGACCAGCAGCATTGGCATCACCAGGAAGTATATTAGAAATACAGAATCTTAATGCCCCATTACAGACCTACTGAATATGAATCTATATTTAACAGGATCCCTGGGTCATTCACATGCACAGTAAAGTTTGAGAAGCACAGTTAAAGTCCCTCACAGGGGAGTGGGGGAAGGTAGTAGGAAACAATTTTTATTAGACTCTTTCTGTTGCTTATCCAGAAAAGATAGTTGCTATCTGAAGAGGCCTGAGGGTGAATGGAAGGAGGCAATGAGTTACCAACATCTATTTTTAGTTTTTTTTTTTTTAAAAGAAAAAGAGCCAGAAAATTTAACATTTCAGTTTTCTGTGGTGGTTCGTCATCAGCTATGAATAGCCATTATTTTTCATCTTTTCAAATTTTGTAAAATTGGAGATTTTTGCCTAAACATTACTTTGAATGAAATAATTTTGTAAAGTTTGTTGTTCTCTTAGTTATACCTTTTTCAGCATTCTGCTTCATTAGGTCTTTAAAAGACATTGAAGAGTATGTGCAGCTCTGTTTCAAAAACAATTTTTCTTTGATCAGAATATTGTCATTTAGCCTTGTTTCCTTGCAGTTGGAATGTTAAAGAAATTCATCAGGCTGCTGACTATCTCAAAGTGGAAGAGGTGGTCACTAAATGTAAAATAAAGATGGAAGATTTTGCTTTTATTGCTAATCCCTCTTCTACAGAGATATCTAGTATTACTGGAAACATTGAATTGAATCAACAGACTTGTCTTCTTACTCTACGCGATTATAATAATCAGGAGAAATCAGAAATTTCTACAGATTTAGTTCAGGCAAATCCTAAACAAGGGCCTTTAGCAAAGAAGTCATCTCAAACTAAAAAGAAGAAGGCTTTCAACTCTCAGAAAACAGGACAGAATAAAACAGTGCAATATCCCAGTGACATTTTAGAGAATGCATCAGTTGAATTATTCCTAGATGCAAATAAATTATCCACACCCGTAGTAGAACAAGTTCTACAAAGAAATGATAATTCAGAACTCGAGTTGACGTCAGTTGTGGAAAATACTTTTCCAACACAAGATATTGTGCAAACTGTTACAGTGAAACGGAAACGTGGAAAATCACAGACAAACTGTGCTCTCAAAGAACATTCTATGTCTAATATAGCCAGTGTCAAGAATCCTTATGAGCTGGACACCTCTAGGGAAGAACTGGATCAGAGGTATTCCAAGGCCAAGCCAATGTGTAACACGTGTGGGAAAGTGTTTTCAGAAGCCAGCAGCTTGAGAAGGCACATGAGAATACATAAAGGAGTCAAACCTTATGTCTGCCACTTGTGTGGAAAGGCATTTACCCAGTGTAACCAGCTGAAAACGCATGTAAGAACTCACACAGGTAAGACTGGTTTGTGGAAAGATTATAATTACTTATATACTATGACTAAAATAATTATTTTTTATAGAGAGCATATTAGCACATAGTGTTGACTACTTGTAGCCAAAATTTGGTATATTCTTCTATTTATAAAAGTATTTAGCAATGTTAGACTGTTGAAAATTTAATGTATTTAATGGCTATTTGTTTTATTATAGCTGATATCTTAAGTCCTAATGCATCAGCTCCATATGCCATTTTCCCTCAAAGTAAACATAGACTTGGTTCTACCTTGCTAAATATTTAACAGAAGCAAAGTTATTAAAACTGATAAAGAGAAAATATAATTGCAACTTAGGCCAATTTTCAGAAATTGCCAGCACTTCTTATTACATGCTTCCTAGACTTTGTTGACTTCTGAACATGTGTGTTAAAATGACACATATATTCTTAACTCAATTTCTACATTTACCTTTATTTTACATGTCCTTTTTCTGGTGGTAAAGTAAGAGCACTGATTCGTACACTTAGATTTGTACTTTTTAGGATATAATACGTATTTCTCTCATTGATCACCTTTCACTACTAAGAATTGAGAAACACTAATTTCTTTTAGTTCTACCAGTGTTTTCAATACTCTGGATAGAGATCCTATTTGCTTTTACTTCTAGCAATTAACATTTTCTGAATACTAGAACTAGAACTGTTAACAAACTGTTTTGAGAGCTTATATTACGTATGCAGCTAAAACAGAATATTTCCTTCTAAATATAAATTTTATTTACTTGTTTCTTTAGGTGAGAAGCCATACAAATGTGAATTGTGTGATAAAGGATTTGCTCAAAAATGCCAGCTAGTCTTCCATAGTCGCATGCATCATGGTGAGGAAAAACCTTATAAATGTGATGTATGCAATTTACAATTTGCAACTTCTAGCAATCTCAAGATTCATGCAAGGTAAAAGCACAAGAAACAAAAAAAATAAGTTGTTCAAGCTTTTAGTTTATTAATTGCCATAGCCTTATGAATAGATTAATGTATTAGAGTTCAGAACAGTAGCGTTGTAATTGTGGTTCCACCATACAGTATTCTTATCACATTCAAGGAACAACAGGAAACCATGGTGTTTGGAAGGGAATAAAAACAAGGGGGGGAACAACTAGGAAATAAGATCAGAATGGTGATAGGGTGTTCTGATGGTATGAAGTTTTGTAGGCCACTGAAAGCTTTTTCTCTTGAAATTGAGAAGTAAGTGATGATGTGATCTTGCTTACATTTTAAGAGGATCACTGTGGCTGCTACCTTAGGAAAAGACTGTAGGATTGCAAGAATGGAAACAGGGTGAACAGGTAGGAATCTATAGATAAAACCCAAGTGAGAGTGATGATGGTTCAGGCCAGGGTAGTAGCAGCAAAGGAGCTATGTGGTAGTTGGATTCTGGATATATTTTAAAGGTAGAACTAACAGATTTTGCTGACAGATTGAATGTGGGATCTGAAAGAAAGACAGTTAAAGATGATTCCAAGGTTTTGGTCCTGAGCACCTGAAAAGATGAAGTTTCCATTAACTGAGATGGACAAGGTTTGTGGGTAGAGCAGTTTAAGTGGGAGTGCAGGAATTTAGGAGTACATGTTAGATTTGAGATGACTATTATACATCTGAATAGAGATGTGCAGTAGAGTATTGGTTATCTAAGTCTGGAGTTCAGGGGACTGATTTGGGCTGAAGATATAAATTTGGCAGTCATCAATACATTTAAAGCTGTAACACCAGATGAGGTCACCAAAAAGAGATCAAAAGACTGAGTCCTGAGGCATTCTAACTTAAAGAGTTCTGGAAGATGGTCAAGAACCAGAGAGGAGACTAGGAAGGAGCAGCCTGTAGAGGAGGAAAACTGGGAAAGTGGGCTGCCCTGGAATCCAAATGAAGGAAATTATTCCAGAAGGAAGTGATCGGCTGTGTAAAATTCTGTAATAAGGAGACAAAGACTGAAAATTGATTTGGATTTAGCGGAGTGGGAGGTCAGCAACATTCTTGACAAAAGTATCATTAGCACAAGCTAGTAGAGAAGAGGTTGGTAGAGAAGAAATGGAAGTAGAACAATTCAAGACTCAAGATTTTGGTAAAGAGGAGCAGAGAAATGAAAGAGCAAGTGGAGTCAGTTTTTTTGAAGATGAGAGACATATATCAGTATATTTGTATGCCGTGATCCAGTGTAGTACAAAAACTGGATGATGTAGAATGGAGGGAATTGCAGGAGTGATATCATTGAGTAGGATCTCAAGTGTACAGATGTTGGATTCAGATGAACGGTCACACTCATGTTATAGTTAACCATAGGGAAAGCAAACTGCAGATGACTATAGAGAGTTTTGCTGGTGGAAATTTTCTTCTGATTAAATTTTTCTCAGTATAATAGGAAAGTAAGGATGTCAGCTGGGAATGAGGATAGGTGAGGAGGTGCTGGTGGTTTGAGGAAAAAGTTGACGAGTGAGAGGGTGAATGGGCTAGTGAAAATAATTGCCTGCAGTGTTAGGGGCCTGCTGACAACCATGGAAGGAAGAGGGCAAAACTTTTTGAACTGATCTCAGAACTAATGTTTTGATAACTAAATGTTTAATTTTGGCAGTGTTTATATTCCAGTAACTTGATTTTAAATATGTAGTCTTGGCCTATCAAGATTAAATAAAATGTTGCATGAAAAATTACATGAAAAATCCTGGCTGTATTGACTGACCTCCAAATTGTTTTACTTACCAGAATATAACTTCATATTTACTAACAGGAAGCATAGTGGAGAGAAGCCATATGTCTGTGATAGGTGTGGACAGAGATTTGCCCAAGCCAGCACACTGACCTATCATGTCCGCAGGCATACTGGAGAAAAGCCTTACGTGTGTGACACCTGCGGGAAGGCATTTGCTGTCTCTAGTTCTCTTATCACTCATTCTCGAAAACATACAGGTGAGAGTTTGACATGGAGAGACTGCTTAAAATAAGGAAAGTTGTAAATAAAAGAAAAAGTGGGGATTGGGCCTTTATAGAAAGTAGATTATAGACTTTGCAGTTAGAGATCTGTGTGTGTACTTCTCGAAGCTATGTTTTTGATACATATTAGATATAAAGCTGACTTATTTTCTAGGATAATAGAAGGTGGGTGAAATTTTTTATTATGTAAATTATATTAAAATTAGTGAGATAATTTTGATAAAATGTAAACTTGAATTGAGACATGTTTTAAGACTTCAGAAAACCTCTTTAAGGTTCATTTCCTTTGGATCAAATTGTGAAGTGAAGTTAAGGGGTGGAGAGGTTGGTTTTGGTAGAACATTGACTTTATAACGTCTTAGGCCCTTTCCTACACGGACATTCTGAGGTTTGCAAATTAAACAGATAATTCAAGTGCAAAGTATCAGTTTTGAAGCAAACTGAATTGGTCACAGATGGTCATTTTTTTGTAGGGTACATTTTTTAATAGACTCTTCCCTGTATGCTCTTATTCTCGTTAAATAATATAGTAGATAGCAAGAATTGAAATATGGGTTGATGAAGTTGCAGTTCTTAATCACATAAAAATTAACTCCTTGCCCAACTCATCTCTACTAAAAGGGATATTTGCAGGAATAAAGTTTTAATATATGAAAAATATTAGGTTACATGAACATTATAAAATAATTACTAATATTTAAGTTGGATCACTGAAAATACCTCTAAAATACAATATAGAGAGGTCTTAATTTAAATATTTTAGAATAGCTTACTTTAGATTATTTGTAATTGATAAATATTATATTGGTATAGTACACCACTTCGCTATCTTTTATTTTCCATCTAGGTGAAAAACCATACATATGTGGTATTTGTGGGAAAAGTTTTATTTCCTCAGGAGAGCTCAACAAACACTTTCGATCCCATACAGGTCTGTGTTTAGGGAGAACGTATTATTTTTTGTTCTCTCTTAATTTCTTTTCATGTAAACCTTGACTTTTAAACCATTATGGACTATATGGTATCTAGTCATACTCTACCTATAGTAATACTTTAATGTATAAATATCAACTTTTTATTTGCTTATTTTGTTTTTTGGTTTTTTTAATTTATTTGGAGTGTGAATTAAATATTGTCAAGAATTGTGTATATTTTCCAAGAAATATGCCAGATAATCAATAGTTTTTAAGTGATTTGGATTAAATTGCTCAAGTACACCAAGAAATGAAAAGGAACAGATAATACCAAGATAACATCAAATTTTCTATTAAAGAGTGTTTCGTTTGCAAGTTTTAGAAATAAATTTTAATATTGACATATTTATTGTAAAAAGTAGTGTGTGAGTAGTAAGAAGAAAATGTTAAATGTAAAAAATTTTAAAAACAAAGGAAAATGCCTTTTTTGAAAGAGTACTGTTCTTTTTCTTTTTAAAAGTTCATCCTCTTAATTCCTCCCTAGAATAGTGTGAGTACCTAGTAGAAATTTAATAAATTTATTGGCAACGTCTATATTTTCATGCTTCTTAGTTTACAGTATAAAGCATTGAACAGTTCTTATTTCAAAAGGATTATAATATTGTAGCATATTGTCAATATTTTTTAAGGATTTTCCAACTTGTAAGATACCCGAGAAAAGAAACCATAATTACATGTTTTTCCCCCCTAACTATCTCTCTCAGCCAGGGTCTGGCATATAACTGACACTCACTAAATGTCTGATAGAGAGAAAAGAGAAAGTTACTTTTTTAGTTTGCAAACAAGTTTCTGTTAATGAAAATGTTCAATTTTCCCAGAAATAGGGATACTTCATATAAAGTGAAGGAGTACCTATGTGTGTAGAATTTATTTCACTGTGTTGTACCCAAGTGATTAAAATGGTAATTTGAAAACAAGTATAAACAGTATAGTAATTTTTGCCTTGTGTTCATAAACATTGATAACTTTTGTCTTAGCTAAGAGCTTTTAAAATATTGAGTTTTTAAACTGTTTAACTTGTTTTTCAGGAGAAAGACCATTTATCTGTGAATTATGTGGAAATTCTTATACAGATATTAAAAATTTAAAGAAGCACAAAACGAAAGTTCATTCTGGTAAATGCTTGTTTTTTTTTAAATTTGGTGCTCTCATATTGATGTTATTACTTAAATGTTGAGATTTTAACTGTTTAAATTAGATGTCTATTTCAAAAAACTAGATATATACATATGAGGAAAGTACCTTTACAATTTGCATAAAAGTTCACTCTGATTTCTTTTCATTTTGAGCTTCTAATAAAAAATACTTGAAATATTTCCTCCTTTAAAAACCTGACTTAGGAACAATTTCAGTAATGAAGGAATATGTAAGCAAGCTATGTATTACTTTTGCCCATTCTACACTCTGCGTAACCCAGGTTTTACTATAGTTATTATGAAGAAGAGGGTTATCATGAACACTAGAGCCCAGAAATGTATAAGAGGAAAAAGGGAAAAAAGTAGTCCCAAACTGTTACATATGATAATGGAAAGCCAGACTGCAAAATTCTGAGTCTGCTGCTTAAAATGAATCCTTGAAAAAGTTAAACTATTCTGTCATGATTAGAAACAACACTAGTCTTCTTCAGTGTGTAAAGGTGATTTTAAGTCTCTTATATCTTATAGGGTGATAGTAAGTCTCTTATAGTAAATATAAATATCATAAGGATTAAGTTAGAAACATCTGAAAACTGTAATGAGTCATTAAATTCAACAACCATTTATTAAATACCTATAAAGTACACATAACTGTGGAGGGAATATGAAGTTGAACAAGGCATAGTCCTGGTCATCAAGGAGCTTACAACCTGGTATAGGAGACCAGAAATCTAAATAAATATAATTACAAGAGAAAATGTAGGACATTATTGACACAGAAGTGTTAAAGAAGATGTTAAGTTTTTCTGAGGTATTAGAAAAGGCTTAATTTTAGGGAACTTGAGGGATGGAGAAGAGTTCAAAGGATGGAAATGGGGAAGGGAAGGTTCCTTCCAGGCAGAGAACATTGTGAAGAGTTACCAGGACAAGAAAGCACAGGCTGTGTTCTTGGCTGGTTGAACTGAAGAGTAGTCTGGGAAGAATAGAGAATGATAATTTTATAAAAGCAATATACAATTTTGTCTGTTTAGTGATGATAGTGAAACTGAAATCATGTCAATACTTTGGAGTCACAGGAGCTAGTAGAAAATTTGAAGGCAAAGTGCATCATTAGTCAGTGGGATAATTACTCTCTTGAGTAGAACAGAATTTCTCACCTCTGAAAATATATGAAAGTGCCATACTTCTGAAATTGAACTGGCAGAGTACTGTGAACTACTATCTCATATAACTACTAAGTACTTTGAAGGAGTTAGAGAAGTGTAACTTGACATTTACTCTCAAGGAATTTATAGACCAGTTGAGAATTCAGGGCATACCTGAGGAGACTATTAAATAGCAATAAAAGAGATATATGCCACAAGGCAATATATGAAAATTGGCAGGTGTATAATTAAGTAGATAAGAAACAGCTCACCTTGGTCTAGAAGGATTAAGTCCATTTTTATAATGGAGTTGAGACTTGAACGTAGCAGAGGCCCAGATTGAATTTGTATGGATAATGCAGAGGGGCATATCAACAAAAGACACAGCTTGAGTTAAAGGTGTGGAGGTTGGGATGCAAGTTCTTAGTACAGTAAGTAAATTAGTCTACCTCAGGGGTTTCATTTTGTTTTTAAATCTAGTATTTTTTTTCTCTTCTCTTTCAGGTACAGATAAAACTTTAGATTCCAATGTAGAAGATCATACTTTGAGTGAGCAAGATTCCATACAAAAAAGTCCTTTATCAGAAACTATGGATGTGAAGCCTTCTGATATGACTTTACCACTAGCTCTTCCACTTGGGACTGAGGACCATCACATGCTTCTGCCTGTCACAGATAATCAGTCTCCCACGTCAGATACATTGTTGAGGTCAACTGTGAATGGATATTCAGAACCACAGTTGATTTTTTTACAACAATTATACTGACTTTTTGAGGAATATGGAATTGTTAAGACATCTCTGGTAGTAAACATAAACATCTCTGGTAAGGTGCATATATCATATTAAATTCCCATTCATATGAGTTGTGACCATTATTTTTCATTCATTGAAGTGAAAGCACCTAATGCTACATCATAACTATAATGCTTGTTTTGATTTTTGGCTTTTATGTCTGGACTATACACACAGCTTTTTAAGGAAAGAATTATACAGTAGCACTATTTTGGGTGCATAAGTTTTTTGTTTTTTTTTTTAAAGCTGCCTTAATTCCATTTTTTTTGCATTTTAGAATTGCCCTTCATTTCCTGGAGTAAAATCTGTCAGTCTTTGTGATTCAGTGGGATTTTTTTTATTTTCCTCCCTTCAAAATTTAAGCAAAATCCATGATAGTATCAGCCCTTAAGTGTTGCTGTTGTAAGCCCCATCGACCAATACATGAACTACGGAGAAAAAATAAAATTTCATATTTCTGCCTATGAAAATTTAGGTACTGAATAAGAATTGTGCTATATCTCTATTAATATACTCCATTAGAGGTAACTTTTCTAATGAAACAAAACTGTTTCTCTTAAAAGCTAGTAAACTATATAAATTTTTGTTCATTTAGAACACAGTATTCTGGAGAAAACCAATGATCAGTACTTTTGGTTTGAGTTATTTGAGACTATTTTCAACATAAATTTTAAATAGATATTTGGTGTTCTTGTCAAAAAACAGTTTCAAAATTTGATTCAGTTTATGTTTTACTAGGTTTCTAGTTACTGGACATGAGGAAAATATACTGAGTTTTGAAAAATTTTGATAAGCCTCTCATGCCTGTTATGCACTTTTTAAAATAAAGATTAAATTCTAAAAAGAATTTTCTTGATATAAACTTAATGCTTACTATAAATCACTTGGCTTCTAAATTTGATACACTGCATAAAGAGTTAAGAAATCAACTTCAATTGTAAATAAATATCTTGGGTTTATCAGAAAGCCAGTTTATTAAACATTTTATATTTGAGTTTTCTTTAGGCTTTGTGCTTGTAAATTTTATAAATTAAGCCACAACTTTTCTCAGTGGTTGTAGTTTCACAGTAGTCCTTTTCCTTCCAAAAGAATGTAGCAAATTCAATATTATACTGATATTTGCTACAGCTTTTCCCCGTCCCACTTTACCTACGTATTTATTTCACTGCCTGATCTTTGGACATTAAATTATCAGTTCCACAAAGTCAGTTCCCATAAGTGCTGATCAAACACCATGGTGACATTATTTCTTATTTCTGCCATGCATTAGTTGTGGCTTGTTTTCTGGTTTTAAACTACACCTTTAATAAAGTCAATATGTTTTTTATTGGTATTAATTTCTTTAATTGTAGTTGTCTCTATTTGGGGTCCAAATCATAGGAAACAATTAGAGGATATGATAAAACCACTTGATTCTAGTGGACTATACAGATCTTCACCGTTTCAAGGCATACACAGCATTTTCATAATAAATTGCCACCAGTGGGATTTATTTTTATTGAGTTTGAAATACCACCTTTGTGTAATACAAACTTAATATTTGATTATTAATTTAAGAAATCTAATTATGCATGTAGTTAATATACTGGGTTTAAATAAAATCTATAGGGCCGGCCCGGTGGCGCACTGCGCTGGTGCGCCGCTTGGGAAGCGCGGAGGCGCTCCCACCGAGGGTTCGGATCCCACATACGGACCGGTTCCCGCTCACTGGCTGAGTGAGGCGCGGGGGCGGCGCCGAGGGTTGCGATCCCGTTGCCGGTCCCGGTCCGGTGCGGGGGCGACACTGAGGGTTGCGATCCGTTGCCGGACACGCAAAAAGACAAAAAAAAAAAAAAAATAAAATAAAATAAAATCTATAAAGTTATAAAATGTTCAGCTAATCTATTCTGGCTTAAATTTAATAGAAATTTATTAGAATGTGAAGAAATTAAAGAAAATTAAGAGATTCGGCCTGTAAGAAGTCTGCTGAAAGGGAGAGGTTATGTTTAATTTATATCTTTATCAATTCAGGTATCTAATGAACAAAATTTCTTTTTAAAAACTGCTACAGTGATATCATAATCCTATGAAGGCAATAATTGCCAGATTTCCTCAGATATAATTGGCATTTTGTCTTTTGTATAGATTAGCCTTCAAATTTATTATTTTTAGTATTATTTGATAGGACTGGAGTGGCTAAGGTTGATTGTGCTTTTCTTCATCACATTATCTGCTTCTTAGCTAAAATAATTTTATTTTAAATTGACATGGCTTGAGTCATCATCATCTACTCTTCCAGAATGACAAGTAAAGAAAGCTTGAAGACTATTTCTTCTTGTCATTCTTCTCATAATGCTATGCTGTTACCTATCGTAATATGTATATATTTTAGTTGTATCTAGTATCATTCTAACACTCATAATTATCATTTTACTTAAGTCCTTTAAATATATGTATTACAATACAGTGTTTTGGGAAAGGTCTATTAAGTATTACAGGGTTTTCTGAAGTCTCTCTTTAGAATGCTAAAACTCTTACTGAGAAGTTATTTTCTAAATGAATTTAATTTGTATTTGTACTAGATTAATATTCCGACTGTATTTTTAGATTAATTAGACATTTTGAAAGAAAACCATAGTGCATATATAAATGATTTTTGACTGTTTTTAAATGGTACTTGTTTTATGTTTAATTTCATGGATGATTTTGATAGAGATATTTTTGAAAACTTTTTTTCAAAGTTAAAGGTTGTATCCGTACTGCTGCACAACAGTTTGTAAGTTCTTTCCTGTTTTTCAATGCTACAGAAATTGTGTAAATAAGAGTAGTTGAAATAGACAATAAATGTACATACGCTAGTTTTTAAAAATATCCTAGACTAATAGTTCTAACATTTGATGCATCAGAAACATGTTTAAGAAATAACAATATGCAGGCCTACCCCTCCTTAGACCTACTAAATTAGATAATTTCCAGGTGGAAAAGCCCCACAGGTGACTTTAATGTATACCAAACATTGAGAACTATTTTTTAAAAATTTTTATTGAATCATAATTGATCATACATATTTTGAGGGTTCATCATTGAGATATGTTGATCAAATCAATATTACTAGCATATATATTGTTACAAATCATACTTATTCTTTATGCCCCTTGTGCTTCTCTCCCCCTCCCCCTCTACTTCCCCCCTCCCACCACTGATAACCCTAGCTTTCTTCTTTCCTTCTGAAAGAGTAATGGTTACTCTGTTGATTTGTTGCGTAGATGATCTGTCCAGTGCTGAGAGGTGTGTTCAGGTCCCCCAATATTATCATAGAGCAGATGCTTCTTTCACTCTGGAATAGGCTTTGTGGAGAGAGACATCCTCCTCTTTGGTCGCAGCTGATGACTCTCGTGTCAAAGCACTCCGGTGGCTGGCAGACCATGTGTGTGGTGGTTGTGGCGTCTAGCCACTTTCACAGCAGTGATGTTTATTGTGGTGGCTGTGGTGGGCCACCCACATGGAGGTAATGTTTTTGGCATGCTCCTTGGTGCTAGTGGTGTGTCTGGTTGTGGGTGGGGGGAGTCCAGTCCCCGGCTTCATGCCCAAGGTCCCTGGGCGGCCCTGAGACGCTGGTAGTGTGCCTGGGCCGAAACTAAGTTTTTGTCCTTTGCTTACTTCTAAAATGGGGGAACGTCCTGTGCGGACCAGTACTTGAGCTGTGTGGTTGAGTGAAATTGCTGCTTTGCTGCTGCTTCCTTAGGGAAGGCTTTTTGTGCAGCTCAGGGTTTAATAGTTGGCTTTATAGGTACTTCTGGCTCTCCAGAGACCCCATGCACCTGGGTTGTGTAGAAACTCTCAGCTGGGCCTGAGTCTTTTCATCAAACTGCACCCCTTGCAATTTTATATTCCTTACCAGTCTCCTCTGAGTTATCCTACACTGATTGGGGGGAGGATTGGCTGTCTTTGCTGTGCCCCAGTGTTGCCCCAGTGGGCCTGTCTCCCCCACTGCCACTGCTGCGAACACTTCCCATGGTACAGGCCATGCATCAGTCCCTTGTGATGACTCACCAGCCTCCAATTGGCTTTTTTTCAGTTGTGGCTCCTCGCTCCTATGTGGGTCCACAGGAACCCTACTAGTGGTCTTGCTGGCCTGGGGGCCACCAAGGCCCTGTTCTCCCCTGCTACCTCCAAGCAACTCCATCCTAAGGGCACAGCTGTGGCTTTTGCTGGCTCCTGCTCTGTGCGCTCAGCAGCTCCAGCCTTAAAGTGGCCAAGGCACGAAATGGTCGGAACAATTTTCTTTCTCTCATCGTGGCTTCTCCCACCTTCATGTACTGCCTAGGTCTCTCCTTCTCTTGCTCTGAGCTCTAGTGACCCCAGCTTGGCTGTTGTTGCTTTTTTATAGTTGTAAATAGTACATTTGTGGGAGAATGATGCAGGGGACTGTCTATTCTGCCATCTTGACCAGAAGCTCTAGAACTATTATTCTAAACATTTCTTGGTGTTCTCCCTTTTGGAAGCAGTTAAAAATGAAGCTCTTGAATCTAACTTTCCATCTTTTACCTACAGATTTTGAATCTCTAGAACTTGGCTAGAAATACCACCAAGTAAAAAGAAAGTATTTTAATGCAATTTCTTTAAATTCTATGTTCTCATTTATGAACAATATTGAGATTTAGTTATCGGAGCATTAGTTTCTTGACACAGTGATATAGTCTGCTCTGCTGTCCTCTGCCAACCGTGCCCCCATTCATCCAAAAGAGGTTTGCTGTACTTGTTTAAGGAACTAGATAATTGTCATGTAAACATACTAACCTTCTAGAAATAAGGTATTTAATTTCAGCACTGCACTCTCCCGAGTGAGCCACAGGCTGGCCCTCAAAGGTATTTAATTTCAAGAAGAATATACTAGAATGAACACCATGGATGTGGGCATTCACATATTTGGATAAAAATATCTGGCCAGGACCGAGCCCGTGGCGCACTCGGGGGAGTGTGGCGCTGGGAGTGCAGCAGCGCTCCCGCCGCGGGTTCGGATCCTATATAGGGATGACCGGTTCGCTCACAGCACTCACTGGCTGAGCACAGTGCGGCCGGTCTCAAAAAGCACAAAAAAAAGGAATCTGGCCAATATTGCAAATGCTGGAAAAATACTGAAATCAGAATATAAAGCTACAAATATAAGATAAATTTTACCCTTAAAAATTTAATGGGAAAGCCAAGTCTGACTAGCAGTAAGACAAGCCAGAATATTGAATGTTATACTTCAGGAAGGCAAGAAAGGAAATGCTGAGCATTCAATAGGAGTTGAATGGACAGAGAAAGGGCTGTTGCTCACCCCGATAGGCAAACGAGATGACTGATGGGAGAAATTTGCATATAGCTGATCCAGGAGTGAGCCAGGCAGAATGGAGAGAAAGTATTAAATGGGGAGAAGATAGGAGTCAGAGACTTGTCCAAGCACTACACCTACATTGTCTGCCTTGAACTAGTCCTCTACCCATTATCTGTGCTGAAAGAGTTGAGATTAGATAGCCAGGTTTCTAACCAATGATCACACAATTCAACCACAACTGACTGCTGAAAGGCAGGGATTAGATAGCTACATTTGTAACACATGATTCCATACTTAGGACCACAGCTGACTGGATACCTACCAGGGAGAAACAGTTCTTAGGCCAACCTGAGCTGGTCAGATTCTCTCAAGAGTTTGAGCTATGAAATTTAGAAAATATCAAGTAATGATACACTTGTAAATGAAAAGATCATTTAGAACTGGCCCTCAAATCAGTGAAACAAGCTAAAGTCTAATGGGAATTACAAATAAACAGTGACAGCTGACCTGTGGAGCAGAGCCAAGAGACTGTCCTAGAGAGATGGGAGGAGTGGCCTTAGTTTCTGGCTTTGCAATCCTGCTCTTCAGGCAGCACAGCTGTGCTTCATTTCCTGTCTCTGGATGCAAGCTGATTTTGGCTGTTGTATCCTTACATTAAATCCCCTTTTTCTTAAACAGGCTTGAGTCAGTTTCTGTTCCTTGCATTCAGACAGCCTCTAGTTGGACACCTAGGCTTTGATCCTTGGTGATAGAGAAGATGGTGATGACATTTACTGTGAAAGGAAAGAAGTCAAGGAGCAGGTTTAGAGAAGGGAATACAATTTTGGGTGCACTGAATTTGATGGGTGGTGAAATATGCATGTGCAAATGTCTGGCAGTAGTTGGAAATGGGGCCTGAAACCCAGGAGAGGTTAAAGCTAGAGATACAGATCTTGTAGCCATCTGCATAAGGCTAATAATAATTTATAGAAATGATTAAGGCGGCTCTAGAAGATAGTACAGGAGAATAAAAGAAGAGGACAAAAT